CCTACCCTACCTACCTACCTACCTCTACCTACATACCAGCTGTGCTTGCTCAGTCATCAAGCTTCCGATCCCACCACTGCCAACAGTGTGAAAGCTTTGCTACTATCAGTCCTCCAAGACTCTCGAGAGCAGCATGTAAGACTGGGCTTGCCACAGTGCTCGGGTAGGTCTGAGACTGTGCATTTTGCGCAGAGTGTCCACTAAACGGCAAGGGGAGGGGAACAGGACGACCAAAATCTGCCAAACATGTGATTCGTGCCCAAACATCAGAGACCAAGCCAGGTGCAGCCGGTTGGTTTACTAGAATCAAGGACTCTTTGCACATTCTCGGCTTTTCGCTCGGCTTTTCGCAAAGACTGTCGGGCGCTGAGCTGGTGACTCATGTTGGAGCAATCGTGCATGCAGGACTGGGAGCTTCCCCAGCGTGGCATCCTTGTGCAGCTTGATGCTTCCAGGGGAGCGCTCGGGACTGCCTTGCGCGATGTTTCACCAGCCGAGTTATTTTCGTCGGAGGCATTGCCACCGTCATGCAGAGCACTTAGAACTAGTATAAACCAGAATAATCACAGAAAGCTCAGAGATGGGATGCCTACTTGCATCCGCTGGGGCCCGGTCTCGAATCCACCAGCCGGCTCAGAGAGCCTCTAGAAGCCTCTTGCAGCTTCCAGCTACCATTGTTGGTCTATGGTTTCGTATGCTGAGATGCGGTCTTGCCAGTGTACAGTCAGGCATGCTTGAATCCTTCTGCATCTCGAAACACGAAGAACTGTGTGATCAGCACAATTTCCTCTACGGAGGTCCCAGTGCCTGTCGGCAAGTTGGGTCTCAAACATTCAAGCCAGCAGCCAGCGTGACGGATCGCGTCGCCAGGCCCAAGCGCTGGAGGACAAGTTCAATCTCTCGGCGCAGGAGGGTTTGCAACGCCCTTGTAATTGTAGGTCAGAATGTAGAGGCTTTTTCCCCACACCAAGTGTCGAGCTGTTCTGAGGAGATTACCAAAGGCAACCGGATCATTCAGAGCTTGCACCAGGCATCCAAGGAGGCGAAGGCACGGTGAGCAATGGCTGCATTTGTGTTTGGATGTTTGCAGCTTTGCATCAGGCCACCTGCATACGCTTAAAGATCCTGGGCATTCTGTCTGGAAGGCCAAGCTGCGTCTCAAAGCCAACGAGCTAATGCAGCATGAGAAGCCGCGTCCCAAGCGAGTGGGATGGGCCAGAAGGCTGCAACATGGCGTGTGCCGACGCCCACATCTGTCGCAGTGTTCCTTCGCCTGAGCTTCTTGTTTTGCCATGGGCTCAGGGCAAGACTAGAGCTGGAGAAGGCCCATGCCGGTGTCATGCTGCACGCAGTCAATGTTTTTAATGACATGCGGCGAAGCACGGATCGGGAACACAAGGGATTTGGGGTAGCCTTTGTTTTTGTTGCAGCTAGTTATCATATGACTCATATTTGTAGAGTGCTATAGTTTGTGCACACTGATTGTCTTTTTTTTTTGTGTGTGTGTGTGTGTGTGCGTGCGTGTGTAGATGTGTATGAGGACCGTGCCGAGCCGTGTCACCATACATCTACTTTGACAAGCTTTCCGTATCAAACGCACCTGGGCACAGGCCGAGGAGCTCAAGAAGCATGCCCTGGAGGAAAAAGGCAACGAAGTGCCAGAAGCTCAGGGCACGCGTGCTGGTAGAGCCTGGTTCAGCCACCGCCTTTTGGGGATCTCCCTTCCATGCTCTCCTCGACTGTCAGGATGCGGGGTAAGGTCCTGAACTTAGTCCGCTGAGCTGGTGCGGCGGGGCGGGCTGCGTTGGTGCAGTTGAAACCTCGGCGGCGAAATCTCTGGGCAGTCTGGTGTAGGTCCTGTACTTCTCGCGCAGGGCATCAGACTTCTGAGCAGCCCGGTGACTTAGGCTCGCGAGGAGAAGCTGCAGCAGGACATCGAGGACCTCAAGCGAAAGCTGGCCGTGTCCTCGCTTCACCACCCGTCGATTTTGCTCCTAGCAAGCATTGTGTTCTGCCCAGGTCGAAGCTCATGATGTCATGAAATCCAACCAGGAGGTGCTTGTAGTGTGAACACCTGCAAGCTCATGAGCGGCAGCTCTGCAACTCAGCAATTCTGGAGAATGCCCGATGGACTAATTGCAAGTCGAATGACTACCGCAGCAGATGGCTGTTCAGTACACGTGGTCCAGCATGTGCTCAGAATGTATAGATCCCACGTTCCTGCGTAACAACACAGCAGTGCAAACAGGGAAGGAGAGCGGATGCGACTTACTCGCCTGGGCATGAGCAGTGCGCACACAACGTTCAGGCTAACACGTGGGTTCCAGACGTGTCCCGTTGCCATGGCTGGGTACCGCATGGTCTGCTGAAGGCAAAGCATGCAGCTGCTGCTCGGTGATCATAGGAACCTGTCATGAACGGCTCCTAACAGCTCAGTTCCTCAGGATTATGCTTTGTGACGGTGTGCAAAGCTGAGCTTGATTCGCCGGGGCGAGGTCTGGGACTTTGTTGCTGCCAGCGGCCCCGTTACTGACAAGGGGAACGAGGACGCCACTGCGGAGCAAGGCCCAGAAAACCGAACCCAAAGAACCTGCCGCAGAGCGGAGTTGCTTGAGGCTCTGCCGCCATCCCTGACCGTTGCCAGTGCAGCTGCGCTGGCAACGCTAACGGCGCATGTAGGGGTGCGCTTGCAGGCGAGCAAGAGGCGGGGAGACCCGCGAAGAACGCACAGCGGTTTAGACTCAGACCTGCCGTGCACATCCTCGCACAACATGCAAGGCCACCCTCGAATTTCCGTCCTGGCAGACGAAGGGCGAAGGCCTCTTCCAAGAGCCACGCCAACATAAGACTTGCAGACAAGTGCTCGTGTCCTGCTTGTCAGGTGCAGCTCGCAGCCTCCAAGCACTACGAGGTCATTCCCCGAGAAGGCATTGACTTGATTGGGCCATGTCTTGTTTTGGGGGCAGGGCTTTCGAGGGATGTCGAGCATATTCAGCTAACTATTTATGAGGTGCCGGCGGCGCCGAGGGAAAAGCAGACTTGACTTCGGACGCGCCTTGTTGCAGGCTGTGCATTCGGGGCCTCCGTGCGGGGCTTCAGCGTCAAAGAGGCCCTGAATGACGCAGCGGTGATGGAGCAGATCCGCTCGGCTGCTCTACTGAAGGGACGCAGCAGCAGTCACTAGCATGCTGCATTTTCAAGGTTTTCAGTTGAGGGCACTTGAAAATTCAAGGACGGTCCACTTCTGCGATGATCGGAACTGGCAGTGTGTAGACCGTGGAACAATGGTCAATTATCCGGCTGCGCCAAGGACATGTACAAATACCGGCTGCTGATTTTCCATGGGCAGACCGACCTGTTGCCGGAGGACCACATTAAACTGAGTGGCTTGGCTACATCGGCAACCCTTCACCATTTGACAAACTCGTCAAGCCCCGCATGTTCGGCGCTTGGCTCCCTACAAAATCCCTTGCCCGAAAAGTGGGAAGAGATGCCGGGTTCCATCGTTTTGGCCGGGCAGAAATTGTGCAATAACTTACAGAGCTGGGCATTGAGGGTGCTTGCGAGGTTCCAGAAACGATTTGGATGAGCAGCCAGTAAAGTTCCACAACAATGTTGCCAAAGTCTACTTGTGAAATCGCTGTAGAAACTGGCGCAGTCACAAACTACCTCAGAGGCACCGATGAAATTTCAAGTAGATGGAAGTCTGATGGCTTTGACTGGGGAGGGGGAACGGTTGTCAATGTAGCACTGCCCTTGCCCTGCAGGTGAGCATCTAGGCTCACTAGAGCACATCCTTCATCGGCCGCACCCGAAGTCGCCGGATCCTCGGCTGCTTCGTGTGGCCAACGACGACCGAGAAGGCCGTTCGCATCGTGTAATGGCCGCTTCCCCTTTCCTGTCCCTTCGGTTGCCGCGGGTTAGGGTTTTAATGGTAGTTGTCCAGTTCTCCATCCGTTTCGCGCCCTGACCATGCTACAGGCTTCATGTCGGTGGGCACTAGTGGTTGGCACGTGGATGGTGTAATGCTCCAAGCGCCGAGGCTTAGCAGCAGACAGAGCCTTTTGCCAGAAACGTGCCTGCAGGGCAAGCATTGCACCAAACCTTGCTAGCTAAGGTTTGCTGCCCAGACTATGCACCATTTGTGTCAAGTCAGCAACGACTTGCATGTCACTCCAGCAAGAGACCGTCTGTTGGCGTGCACGATGGCAGTTTCCTGTCAGTTGAATATCGAGAAAGGCATGCCATACCTGGTGGCGATACCATGTTTCTGGGCCTCAACGAGCTGCTGGAGTCAATGGATGAAGAGCTCCGGGCTCTCTGTGAACGCTTGTGGTTCGTGCCTGAAGCCCGGTCAGCGGTAGCCTTGCTCGGTGCCCTCATGAACAAATGCCCTGCAAGTGCCAGGTCAGGTGTCGGGGAGGACCTGCAGCAGGGTGAAGGACAGATGTCAATGTTGCCCCTGGTGTACAAGCACCCCTTCACCGGGGAGAAGACCATGTGCTTCCACTTGGGCCTGCGGCCCAGTCCTTCACTGTTGAATGCCAGGTTCACCTCAAAGTAGCAGGTAGCCAAATTCATGGCAACAGCTACAGTACTGTATTGTATTGATGGTTGGCGCAAGGGGGAGTTGCAGAGCTGTCCACCAGGCTATTTCCTGACAAGTTTGCACACACCAACTTTCTTCCGACTCAAGGTCAGACATACTGCCTGGGCTTCGTGGAGGAGATCGCCTTGAATGCATTTCTGGAGGCGTTTGCAGACGTCACCAGTCTTCCAGGAACCCAAGTTCCAGCCACACCTCAGACTCGTCCACTTTTCTGGTGCCAAGGTTATGACTCGGGGAGACAAGCTCTTCAAGGATGCACGCTCATCGTTGCAACGGGTCCTTGCCGGACCAGAGGACAACTGCCCATCCAATTTTCGGTCTCTTGGATGCAGCATTGGGCACGTGCCATGCTTTTAAAGATGAAGACGTGACTTGCCACTCTGCGCTTTCGTCACGGTCCTCGCATGGAGTTGTTGCTGTGTGCTAAGGTTTTTGCCGGCTCTGCCTGTGCAGGCTGGTTGGTTAATTACCTGCACGCGAAACACACGCACATGTGGGAAAAGTCGAAGAGAACAAAGGTACGGGTGCGGGGCAGAGCTTTGCCAATCCAGCCGTGCTACAGGATGCGCTGCAGAAAGCCATTGACGGGATGGACCCGGAAACTCACCGCCGAAGCATTCTGCGAGTAGAGTGGGACAGAGGCGACTTGGCACCTTCGCTGCACAATTCTGAGAGGACTTTCAAAAACAGTCTGTGTGTCATGCAGCAGCTGGAGCTTGGAAGATTCTGCCGAGGCGCTGATTGACAACATGGGCTTGGCACACCTTCCGGCCCCTGGCACCCAGTCACTGCCTCTCATCAGTGGACCGGGCACGCTACTTTAGGATTTGGCTACCCGCAACGGTGCCGGTGGCGTCGGTAGGAGCAAGAAATGCGTTGGCACTGCTGTGCAGTTCCGCAGGACTTCGGGTTTTCCATCGGACCACGATGATAAACCCAGAGGTTGGTGGCGAGAAATCCTGCATTCCATGACTCTTCCAAACTCAGCTGACGCTGAAGGCAGTGGTCCGAAACCTTCGAGGTGCTCCGTCTGTTCTGCTCGGAGGCCTTAGTGCGCTTGAGCATGACCCTCTGCAGATTCGAGCTTGTCTTCCTGTGAGGCAAGAGGCGAGACGGCCCGATATCAGACGAAGCCGTTGAGGATTTGGATGCCATGGGCCACTCGTCTCGAAGCGGTTTTCATGCCGTCATGGTTGTCGCTAGCCCGACGAGGGCGAGCTCAGCATCCATTCATAGTCTTTGCGTGACAAGGCAGAATGTGGGGTTGCAGCGTAACGCAGACGTGCATTTGTATAAACACATATTATAATATATATATATATATATACATACATACATATATATATATATATATGCACATACACAGACATGTACATACACGTGCACATAGAAGCATGGCAATGCGTTCTGCAGTGAGCAAGCACTGTCATGATTGTGCACGCTTCTTGCCGGTCTTGGGTTTCAGTTTCATTCTCTTGCATTGATATTTGCAGATGCTGTCGCTAAGTTGAGTGTAATGCTGTGTTAAACAGACCTTGAATAGCTCTGTCCAGGTGCTATTCTCCGAGCTCTGATGGCAGCGGCACCCATAAACGAAGACGAGTTGGGAGGCGGCACCTTCCTGAAGTCTTTGGGAGAGTTAAACCTGCGCATGTCTCCATTGAGGCGACCAGAGAGGTGGGGATTTGCAGATTCCAAAGAACGCCCGCTGCCTAATTGCAAGTCCCCACGCAGTACCAGTTGTGGAACTGGCCAGAGCGGCCAGAATTCGGCAAGAAGTGCAACCTTACATTAATCACACGTTTCGCTGAGGTGCCGGCAAGAGAGGAAGCTTTGCGGGCTCTAGAAGAAGCCCAGCAACCTCTAGAGACTTGGCTCAGAAGATGCTGTGAATTTATTTCTGGATCTGTCAGCCGGTGGTTGCGAGCAAATCACAGGACATGCTGAAAGACGTGGATGCAGAGCTGCAGGCCCGGCGCCGTTTGCACCCTGACAGCTCCGGAATTGCGTCCTTTGAGGCCGCCACAAACCAAGGCAAGGAGACCCTCACGAAGACGCTGAAGAGGATCCCATGCCGTTGGATAGCGTCGGATGAGTGATCCCATGAAGTTTTGGGAAGGCTGATGATGGAGTACCATCCTGATCGGAACCAGAATCGCGAGAAGGAGATCATCCCCATATTCAAGCCACCGGGTTGCATCTACAGCTTTGCTTGAAAGAGACCAGCCAGCCTATACCAGAGGTATCTTCGCCGGCTTCGCAAGGAGCAGGGGCGGCCAGCGAGCGTCATGGCGCAGACCAAGGCCTAGCACCGAATTTTCCAATCTTCGCTGCCATGCCTTTTGCTCTGGGAGCGTTGTTAAGCGACCATCCCTTCTTACCATTCAGTCAGACAGCAGTGGGACCGGGAAGGAAGTCTCCAGACTGACATGTGTAAGCCAACTGAACGATCCCTGTCGCTTTTGAAGTCCAGACCGAGTGTCCAGTAGCATCCTTAACATGACGCCACGACGTAATTCCGTTTGGCAGTGTTCGTGCTCGAGCATCCCATGAAACCGCCGATCTTGGCGCGTAGCTTCTTGCCGGGTTCCAAACCTGGCCCATGATTGCAAAATTCACACCCATGGCCGCCGTGGCCATGGCTTGTTCCTTCGTGCTCACTGTTGGGCGGCGACAGGGGGGTCCTCACGAGCTGCTGGATCCAACAGGGACCATAGACGTCGGTCTCGCCAAGGCTGAGGCAGCGGTCGAGAGCGAAATTGAGCTCGTGGGTTCTGAGCTCCGCTCTGCCCAAGAGTCTGAGAGACAGGCATGGGCAAGAATTTCAAGCGTTACCCAAGTGGGTCCTACCCTGGATGACATAGCAGCAAAGGTCTCGACGAACTTCTTGATCTCTAGCGAGGATGTACCTCCTTCGGACCCCCAAGGGATGTACTGGCTGCAGGTCCAGATGTCGGCCTTCGATTCGGATGGATGCAACCGCTTCAAGTCCTTGGTGGCTGGAGAGATGCAAAAGCTGCAGTTCCCCATTAGCCTGCTGCCAATGACTTGCGAGGGAGCGAAGCTCCGCGTGCGGTGCCTTCCCCGACCGCTTCCTGATGGAGCGCCAGCAGCCCTTCAGCTGTTCAGTGCTCAGATCCACCACATTAACATCACAGAAGGCACCCTGGCAGATGTCAGCGACATCGTGGCCAACAAGGACGCGCCAGTTCTCGAGGAGATTTTTCAGGGCCTTCGTTACGACTTGGACGTCAGCGTCACGAAGGCTTTGGAAAGGCTTGTCGTTCAGAAGCTTGAGGATTTCGTGGCAAGGAAGGCTGACCACAATGTGGCGATGCTGGACAGAGGCAACTGCAGTGCGGGCGAGCTCCCTTGCAGATATGCTTGGGAGGGTGAGTGTTGCAGTACGAGTAGCTGCCAGGACTACCTGACTGAACAGTGCAAGTTCAACGCCACCTACTGCATGGAATATTGCAAGGCCACTCTCGAGTCAGCCAAGGCAGCCGGCGTGGACCTGGTCCAGCAGGTGGTTGGTATGTTCAAAGGTGCATCCTCAGACCTCCGCTTGGCCTACGACGACGCTAAGCGGCGAGAGCTTATTCACATGACACCCTTGTTGAACATTTCTTACCAGAGTCTGATTGGTAGCTTGGCGGACAATCTCAAGAGCCTTCCTCCGCATCTGCGTGGCAATCCCTGGGCCATGTCTCTTGCCAGCATACTCGAGGGAGCTACGGAGACAATGGACACACTGGACTCTGTCGAAATCAAGAACTTGCCGGGCGTTAAGGCTGTTGTAAGCCTGAAGAACATGCACCCGTTTAAGCTTTTGGGCAGCATCATGCAGGACGTTGGCCTTTTCAAGCTTCTCCGTCAAACTAGCGAAAGCTAGTCAGAGGAACTCGTCGCCTGGTTAACGGAGCCAAGGAAACAGCATGGCACAGATGTTGGTCTTACGGCTTGCCTACAAAACTGTGTTCATCACGGGCTGTGGGAAATGTTTCAAGGGTTTATGTAACCAGGTCTTGAGGGTTTGGTAGGATTTTACATGGAGCTTGGGGTTTCTACAACGGTTCTATTTTTTGTAAACGGGCTGAGAGGGATCATAAGGCTGTCGGGGGCTTGGGCTTCTGCTTGTATCTGCTTGTTGACCGTTGCGGTCCTTCAGTCGTGATTTGATGTTGGAAAGATGAGTGATTACTTAGATGCATGCATCCAACAAGTTTGATGCCAGGGCCGTGTCGTCGACCGGCTACGAAAGAAAGCGACTCTTCTGCAATCTGCCGGAATGCCCGAAAGTTGTTCCTTGCTTTGAGGGTCGCCCGAGCTTGGCCAGCTTTTTCCGCTCATTGTACGGACATGTGTCGCTCGCAAGATCGATCTAGGCAAGTCTGCACCAGGCTGTGTGTGATATCAGATTGCCCACAGTTTGCCAGCGTGATTGACCCAGGCACCGTAGGAGGCTCCACGAATGAACGATCCACATGCTGCCTATGTTAGGCTGCCAAAATTTCCGTTGGCGTGCCTCGGATGCAGCAACTGAAATTGGCTGCTGGAGAGTTGCAGCGCTGCTCCAAAAACTGCCTGTCATGCAGGTGGGCGAGGAGGTTGTCGGCTGATTGTAAGCAGTCCGACTTGGCCAAGGGCCATGTCGCTTGCTCAGAGAATCGCCCGGCAACGATTGGTGTTTGGGGCAGCCTTGCTCCGTAGGCTTACAAGGTGAAGACCGCCTTACAAAAGCATTCTTCACAGTTTTCTGCTTGGCCAGAAGGCCGGGCATCCCTGCTGAAACCAATTGTTTAAGTCTTTGCCGTACCCTGCCCACACCGAGTGGCTCAGGGGGAGGCTCTGCGGTCAGAGAGTGAACCGTGACAGTTTTCCGCGCGCTTCCGAGCAGCGAGTGGGATGCGAGCCCAATGGTGCTGCATATGCCAGAAGCTACCAAGCCAGAGCGGCTCCTGACTTGGAGTCGTGGTGGAAAACTGGATGGCAGGTCATCGAGTACCTGAACCGCCAGCTGACGGAGAGAGACCTCAAGGCCGGCACGGCACCCTTGGGTGCGTGGACTGTTGGGGCGGAGGGCCCGGGCCCCAACAGTTTTTGCGGTGCCTTTCCCCCAGGCTTTGCCTGGGCCGGCCAGCCCTTGGAGCCCCCCAGCCTGGGCCCTGGCGCTTTATGAAAGGCATGTGGAGGGGCGCCTGGCGTGGGGGTGTGAGCCCAGGATGCCAGCGCTTCGACTTTTCGGGCTGGAGCCGGCTCAGCTTTGTCAGAAATCCTTGGGAAAGTTGATAGCCGCCTCCTCGGAAGCTCATGAGACGTGTCGAGTCGCGCGTTCGCATCCTCCTGCTGTTTTTATGCTGCGTCTGGCTCAATCGGATAAGACTGATATTCTTTGAGGCCTTTCGCGTGTAGACTCACCGAACCGCCAGCAAATTTGATGTGCACAGTTGCTCTAAGTTGTATTTTGAGCTTCGGCCCTGATGTTCGTGCCGTGCCTCCTGCTGGAGGACTCCTTCCTAGATAGTGGAGCAGTTGCGACCGACCTCTAGAGCTGACATGGAGTGGTGTATGGCGCTAGGATGACGTCCTGGCGGAGCCACGGGCGTTGGAGGGACCGGTCGTTGAAGTGGTGGCATCCACCGATTCCTTCCGGCAGCTAGCGAAATACCGGCTCCATGATGGAGACCGTGTTCTCGAGATAGGCACGGGGTAGCTAATCAGCTCCAAAGCCGCAGTTTTGTCAAGAGCCCTCGTCGAAGTCGTAATGTCGGCGTCGACATGCGTGGACGCTCTCCGACTTATAGCACATTGGGGTTTCCGACTATATTAGGGTCCCCATTGCCCCATTTTCAGAAACCCCACATTGCATTTAAGCAAGGATTGCATCTAAGCAAGGATCTGTTGGCCAGGCTGTTGCTTTGGACAGTGCACGGCCATTCTGGCGGAACGTGCCGCTGAAGTACTTGCACTGGACACATCCAAGGTCCCGTTGCAGAAACTGTTATCTTGATATTAACTTTCCTTCACTTTCTTATACATATATATATATATATCTATCTATATCTAATTTAGAGTCTTATTTCGAAAACAATAAATTGAATTTTGAAAATGAACTGTGAACTAGAGTGAGCGATTATCATTTTTAGTTGTTGATAACAATGAATAGATGCAACAGTTGAAACTAAGATTGTAATTTATTTCTCTCGGATGCAACATTTTTTACAAGGGGAATTATATAGCTCAGTTCAAGAATACCAGTGTTATCATTCTATAGCTTTGCTACCCTGAGGAATGCGTTCAGCTCACCTCTCAGCGCCTGCGAGAGGAACGGCTGGCGGAGCGTGCGCGGAGTGAGAGGCTGGACGTGCTGGCTCACCCGGAACTGCTGAGGATGCCCGGCTGTAGAACGTGAGTACGTCCTGTAGTGCAGTAAGTAAGAGTCAGTGAGGGCTACCACGACCGAAACGGAAGAAGGGCAGACTGTCCAAGGATCCTTGCCTCCTGCAATCCTCCGTTTTCCGTGGTCTTCGTGGACATTGGCGGCAATCGGGAGCTGAACCATGTGGTGGAGTTGCCCCTGGACCAAAACTTGGTTCCGTGACGGTGGCAAGAAGCCATCTGAGCCCAATGTGGGGCCAGTAGAAACTCCATAGTTTGAAGTAAGTTCACTAGAGTTGCAGAGTGAGTGGGCTGCTGAGCGACGGGCCCAGGCTTGAACTCCTGGACCGGACGATGCAAAATCTCAGCTACGTAGCCGTGAAGAGCGAGGCTCTGGCGGAGGCTGGTTGCCCGGGGCTGCCGTGTCTGACCTACAGAGATCTGCAGGATTTCGACATGCTTCGGCAGAACTTCAGCATGTTGAACGATGTAGAACGAGTCTCCTGTCTGAGCGGTTTTACACTTTGGGGTCACCAACTATTTTACAGCTGAGCTGACAAATACGAGGTTTACCGATTTGGATTTCTACGGTATGCATTGCTTGCAGGCATTGGTGCACGCCCCGTTGAACGAGAAGCGACTTCAGTGGTGGAAGGACGCAAGCCTACGTAGTTATCTGAAGTTGGACAACCGACTGAGTGTGCTGAGCGGCGGTTGTTTGAAGCTGGGTGGGGCACTGCGTCGCCGCTGCTAAGAATGTGTTAGACCTGCTGGGACATGATGAAGTGTCTGGAAGGAGCTCACCCAGCAAGTTTGCCGGAAGAAGTCGCCAAAGCGGCCCATGCAAAAGATTTTGCAGCGCCCAGTCCGCAGGCGGGCCGCAGAGTTGCTGTGTTGTCGTAAGTCCTCCTGACACTTCTACCTTCCCGAGGACGCCGGAAGGCAAGGAAATATGTCGTTTCGCGAACTATGCCGAATGCTCCAAGGGGGAGGAGCGGTGCAGTTGAATGCCTCAAGCCTCAGCTGCCTCGAAACAAGGCTCGATTGTACTCCCGAAGTGTCGGGTTGCTACGTGGCAATCGATCAGCTTTGTCCTGCGAGGACTGCAGGTATGACCACACACATTGCCACTGCTGCGGTGCTGAGGGACACTATGCCCGTGATTGCGTGCAATTCGAGGACAAGCTTCCAAGCGAATTGGGACTTGTAGATATGGGTTGCGCATCAGAGATGGAAATCTGTAGAAGATGGTAGAAGAGTGAGCATACCTTGGTTGCATTTTATTCTATTTCCCGTTAGTTTCGCTGGAATTTTGCGGTCCTCTTGGAGGGCGAATCGGCCGTAACTGCGCTTTGAAAGTGTCATAGCAAAGGGCTACATAAGACGTTCATCTATGTTCATCTCATAAAGGTACACGGCCTTTAGCGCACGATTCCTCGAGGCCTAGTGGCAGGCAGGCCCAGAAGATGCTGTTCAGTGTTGAGGGTTTTCCAACAGAGGATGCACAGTTGTATGGACCCACCTATACTGCACTCCAGTGGGTACTCGTAGGAGCCTTTTTCCTTGTCTTGTCACCTTGGCACGCAGGATGAATAACGGCACGGGCTCTGTAACGGTAGATAAGGGTTTGGATGCCTTGTCCGAGTAATGAGCTGGTAACCGGGGGGGGGGCAGGGGGTCGTGCTCGCCTGCTGCCCATGGAGGAGACGAACCAGGTTGATGGTGAGCCTACCTACAGTCTCTGCTCACCTGTGGCGCAACGACTCTACAGTGCTCTTCGGGCTGGTGGCCGGGACCAGAGCACAGTGGATGGACAAAACGAGCTGAAAGACCATTGATGAGCATCTTCACCAGACAGCAGGCGGCAGGTTTCCCGAGGATGAAGACTACGATCATCACGGCCAGTGTTCTGCTGAGCGACAGCGCATACACTGACTCATGCACGATGCTCTGGAACAGTCATTGTGCGGAAGACTGGAGCAACACGCAAGACGCCTGGAGTATGGCCTCACGTCGCCATCCCGAGTTGCCTCAGCAGATGTGCTAGCCAACCAACTGGGCGAGAGCTGATGCGAGACAGTCGTGAACCTCAAGCATCATGGGGTCAGTTGTCGCTGCTCCAACTTCACTGCGCGTTGCTAGCATCTGCTTGCATAGGCTTCATCCGTGGAGGCGGTGCCAGCAGAGAGAGAACCGAAAACACCAACGCTTCAGGAGGCATTTGTTACCCGATGAGCACCCGCCACAAGAACATCCGGGCTGCACCCTCAAGCCTCAAGCCGATCCAGGCCGCCCTGTCGCAGGAAAAGGAAACTTATGGGACAAAGGCATGCATGTAGTGAGATTTACTTTCTCTATTCCGTTTTATTCCCAAGTACTGGCATGGAAGCCTTTTTTCATACTTTGTCGAGCAGTGAGCGTGGTTGACTCCGAAATTGTTCGGCGTGCCGGTTTAACTCTGACCTGCTGTTTCCGCTTGTCTTAGAAGCTGAGTCTTGCAAAGCAACTAGATCGTAACTAAGTACACGGACGAAACGCAGAACAAAGTCGCAAACATACAACGGACCCTTGCTCCATGTGGCTGGGTCACAGATGCTCATTGTGTTCTGGGTTAGTTCGGAACTTGCCTTTGTATCGTTTTGAATTGAAAGGGTTTCCTGTGCGGTCTGATTGAGACCCTTCCCTACCTGTCTGAGTGGGACACTGACTCCGGAACCACGTGACCTGCAGGCCTTCTTTTTTACAGCAGTTCAACATCGAAATGCGACGAGTAGAACGACAAGCGCCCGGAGCAGCGGGAGTTGAAGAACAGTTTTTACGAACAGGCTCACGCATAGCAACAGCAATAACAGCTACATCGGCATTGGAAGGAATAGAATACTAAGAGCCATTGCTTTTGAGACATGCAGAGAAACCTGAGTCCTGCTGCTGTACTAGCTCAGCTACTACTGTATCTAGGGCAAAGGTCATAGTAGTACTGCAAACCATGTCCACTGTTGACGGCCGCATCAATGTCTGTTTGCCAGAGCGACGAAGCATCACAAAAATCAGAATAATAACAGCCACGAGCAACTGACTACTCATCGTTTTTGTAATGCATACTTTGACACATAGTGTCAATACCTACTTCTATTAGCAATTCCAATTAGCAGATGATCCTTGGCTACCGGAGAACGTTGTCTTTGACCTGTCCTCTCTGGTCTCAATCCTATCGATGGCAGCTGGCACTGTCCGATGTCGGGGCTGCGTTTGTCGACTAGACCGCTTTCGTGGCTGCAACACCGCGCCGCGGGTCCATGGCGCACCTGAGCAAGTCATTGTGTCACGGCTCGCTTCCCGCACAGACTCCTGCAGTCACAAGCTTTCCGACATGACTGCGACACTTCCAAGAGCCTGTTGCCGAGGTACCGATGCTAATGCCTGCGTCTCGAAGGCATGCAACTCTGACCGAGCTCGATTGCTGCTGCGGTTTGGAAACGTTTTTCGGCGTGGTGTTCCGCACGGCTGCCGGTTTGTATGTTGCTCGGGTATGAAACTTGGAACAGTGACGAATCACTTTCACATTCTGCCGTGGCCTTACCTGCCAAGGAGCATCGAGATGATGGTGCTTTCAAGCGGTATCTACCTGGACCGAAAACGGGTGGGTCACTGGCATCTTCAGTCATTCCATGTTCGCAGTGTTGTCTTCATTGCTTCACGTCAGGTGTGTGTGTGTGTGTGTGTTGAAGCGTCGGGATGCATTCATTCGAGGACATCTATGTCGCCATAAGTATTACGATGTGTAGGGATATATGCGTGCATACATCCTCAAACACGCGCAGACACACATAAACAAACAAATTACAAATACATGCATGCATGCATGCATACATACACAAATACATGCATACATCCTTATGTGTGTGTATGTACACATATATGACACACACACATACATATATATATATACATATATATATATATATATATATGTGGAGCTCAGGTTTGCCAGAGGCTCGTTCATTGCCTGGCGCAGACATGAGCGAGTCCGAGATTCTGCGCTCCTGAACGAATCTATCCACAACTTGCCGCTTTGCAGAAGGAGTTGTAAGCTTGTGGCAGGTGCCCCCTAGTGTGAAACGGCTTGTCGTATAAAGCAGTTCATGCATGATCAAGGTATGAGTCTCTCAACGTCGTTGGTAAAGGCCCTCGCTCTGTGCTTGGCTGTGTTGCCGTGCAGTCGTCAGGACTGCCATGGGAGAGAGACAGCGATCAAAGGGCCCATGATGTGATAGCACGACTTCAGACCCGTTTGCAAGTTGAGAGTGTGTGAAACTTCGGAACGGTGTCTCGTGCAGGTGGCTTTGGCACGGTCCACAGAGCCAAGCATCGCCGAACCGGCTTCTTGGTCAAGTACGGCTTTGAGCGAGGGGAGAATGGCAAGTTGCCGCTCAGCCCTGCCTCCACTGAGCGTGCCTGAGGTGAGATAGTAGCCATCAAGAGCATCAGCAAGGACAAGCTGAAGGACGAGGAGGCATTGCAGATGGAGGTTGAGTTCCTGAAGCTCCTGGACTCAACAGACATGAGGTTTCTTCAGGCATCACCACACTTCGGCAAAAGCAACTGGAATGAGGGTAAGCTGAGCTTCGGGAGGTGCAAGTGTCAGTGTCAACAAAAGTTTGCACTCAAGCCCCAATGCAGCTCGTGCAGAACTGCCAGAGTCGAACCCGTCGCCTATGGCCTGTCATTTGCAACCCTACGCAACCTTTCTGATCCGAGGTTGTCGGATCATCCGAACACCGTAAGGTACTACGAAACTTTCGAGGATGTGGCTGGCCTTCATGAAGAAATGTGCTTTTGAGGGCTTTTGGGGTCGCGGTTTGGGGCGCGTAGGGTTTAACAGTTTAAAGTTTGGGGTGCCGGCTGCAGATGTGTTGGGGGGGCTTTGGAGGGACCATCGAGGCAAAGGATATCCACCTAGTGATGGAGCTATGCTCTGGTGGGTCGCTGGCCGAGTACATCGAGAACCCTGTCTAGCAAGTCAAAGCTGCCGTGTATTCTCAGGTGTACGATGCGTGCGAGTCGAACAGGGGCTATCATTTTCGGAGTCATGTGCTGCTGGGAAATGCTGGCATGCAGTGATGAACCCTGCTGAGGAACGCCCATGACTCCTATGGGCCAGGTGTGTCAGAGGACGAGCTTGCACGGATTGCAGTGCAGATCCTCAAGGGCATCGCGTATTGCCATGCCCACTCCGTGCCTTGATCCAGAAGCATATCTCAAGTCTGCCAATCAATCTGCGACGAGTGCCACGTGGATGCTAGTAGCCATGAATCGGGGACAATTCGAGAAGTTACCAGGCCTGGGACGCAAGCCGAGCCGAGCCGGGAAACAAGCCGGCCTGGAGAGGGGAAGCGAGCACATACACACGCACACAGCCAATTCGTTCAAGAGTTGCTTGATCAGCACCCGAGGTGGCTCACAGGGACATTAAGCCGCAGAACTTGCTCTTCAGCTGTGGGGAGCCTGCTGCTGGGAGCGCCATACCGATTGACGCTTGGCTGCCGCGCGTGAGCCGCGAGTGGCTAGTAGTTGCCGGCTAGTTCGATGTGTCTGCACTGCGAAGTCCGCAGGCTTGCTCTGGCGAGGGCGATGCGCCCCTGAAGTTGGTGGACTTTGGAATTGCTGGAGTGGTGAGGAACGACCGCCCCGAGAAGCGGCTGCTGACGAAGTGCGCTGGCACTGTGGGTTATATGGCCCCAGAGGCGCTTCCATGATGCTAGAAAGCGACGAAGTCTTCCTTGAAAGATAGCTCGAGGGCACTTCAAGTAAAGTGGCCTGAGCAGCAAGGCAAAGGGAAAGTGTCCAAGGGTCTGAGGAAGGGGGCAAGGAAAAGGTGGCACTCCTTGAAGACATGGAAAAGCACAGCACCCCGTCCGGGCCCTGCGTCAAGAACGCAGTTCGTTCGATCTGTACCACGGCGTCATTGTCCGGCAGCACGATGTTGAAGCCATGTGCACAACGAAAGACAAACCTGCTAAGTCTGGCTTGGTTTGCTCTGTGCGTCTGCTCGAACGAAATCAGCTCGATCAGCAAACGGGGTGGAAGCATACTCCTTAACCTGAACAGGTGTTTGGCTCGAGGCCGTATGATGGAAGATCGGCGGACATGTTTTCCATTGGCGCCGTGATACATCATATGCTCGTGGCTTGGCAGCAAGCTGGAGACTTAGATCCTGCTTCCCTCATATCAACAACTTCTGTTCGTATGTGTTTACTATGCAAGCGGTTGTGACCATTCGCATCCAAAGCGCCTGTCACCGACCTCCAGAACTATTTGTTCAGGCGATGTTCTTCCTGTTACTATTGCATGGAACTACATATGCTTACCACTACTATGTATTGTATGTATCGATCTATCTACCTGTTTATCTGTCTATCTATCTATCTACCTGTCTACCTATCTACCCATCTATCTATCCATCGATCTATCTATCGATCTACCTACATATATGTTTTTAATGCTTTTGTTATCATTCATGACTTATCGGCACATATGATGGTGCAAGCACAGGTCGGCTTGCCTCCAAGCTGGAAAGCTGCGAGGCTTGGCCGAGTGGAATCCCTCAGAGGACGGAGAGTTCGTAATACAGACAGATATATATATATATATATATTTATATATAGTGGTTTAGGGTTTAGGGTTATATAGGGGTTGCAAGCCCGTTGCAAAAGGGTTATATAGGGCTTTAGGTTTATGAGGTGACATGGTCAACTCTCCAACTTAGCCAGGTAGGCGGGTTTCAGTTCGTTGCTTGAGCATCTCAGGAAGAGTGCCCCCTGTCTGCTATATATGTCGG